GCAGACCACGCATAGGTTGGCAGGCATCAGCTGCTTCGTGGAGGACGAACCCCACTACTGCCAGCTTTCTATGGACTGACATGTAAAGTGACCTCAACAGTGGATTTCTTGTGGGCAGGTCGTTTGGGGCAGGCAGCAAGAAAGTACAGCAAGTGATCTTTGTTCCACAATGGGTAGAGCTTGATTTGAATGTAGAACGTAGACTCAGATGACAGGTTGTCATCTTCTTTTCCAACTTTCGGGGCCAAATGTTCCAGACCGCTAGAGCACCCCACCATGCTCTCAACAAGAGGCTTCACCCCCAAATAGTATTTTTCCCTCTCAACCCAGTTGCCACAGCTTTGGTCTTCCCTTGCGACCCCTCTTTTGGAGGGCACGGATGACAACCGGCCACGTCGTTTGATCTTCTCGGTCAAAGCGTCCAGAGATGAGGTCAAGCCATATTGCGACACCTGCAGTTCCAAAGGATGACACACGAACCTCCAGCGGTTCTTAGGTAGACTCAACTGCAGTAATTGTCCATGTAGGCTTGGTGGGCTTGGTCGGAAACTCTGCATCGTAGTCTTTCGATATGTAAGAAGTTGAAGAATCAAGACAAACCCCAAGATCCAGCTATGTGAGCATCCATCAAGGATACCTACTTGAGATGACTCTAAGCCCATCTATCGCTGTTTCTTCATCTAGGAAACATATCCATGCTTTGGACCGCATACCTTCACAACTACCAAGAGCTTCCACTGTATATACCCAAATAAAAAGCGTGCCTGTGCTTGCCTCCTTGCACGCCTACATGCCTGCCAATCTACTTACTCTATACAAATGATACGTCCCTTGGTAGAGGTGTTAAAATTTTCCTGCTTTGGTTTGATTCCAGTGACCAGTACAATTGACCTAGTGTCAAAGCACCCGAGGCCCGAGACCTTTCTCCAAGGTCACTCGTGTCACAAAGCTCCCTTGACGGATGTCGATTGCTGACGGTATTTGCTAGTCACTCAGATCACCCCTATGGGGAGCTGACCAGCACGAATAAGACACTGCTTGTGGGCTGTCAAATAGTGTATGTTGCAGTGTTTGCCGTTCATTCATAGGTGATGACAGGGGTGTAAAGTAGTGTCTGAATGATCTGGCTGTATCCGGTTCTGATGATGTCATACAGTAGCGTTGACACTAGAGCTCTTTTTCTGCAAACAGTTTGCTTGCAACTTCGCGGTTCATACAGCAACTGTAAGGCAGGGTTCGCCGCCAGCGTTCATGTGTGCCACTTCGCCATGTTTGGTCGACCTTCATGCAAAAAGTGGTCCTCATCGTTGTTGCATGGTCATTCTCTGGCTTGCAGGATGAATTTCGGCGGTTTGTGTACACTGTCCGGGCAAGCCCCACACGAAACCCACACGACCGCCGATTGCTTTCCCGCCTCCTGACTACACGAGCGCAAAGTCTCCTGTCGATTCCTTGTTGGAGAGCCACCCGGCTGAGCCACTTACAAGAAGCCCTTTAGGAGGATGGAGTTGGACATGGCATATGGGGTTGTATTTAGATAGGAAAACCCCCAACCAATGGGCTTTGGTCTATGATTGGTCTTTCTGGGGTCTTTGGAGGGTATCTGCCTCCCTATTCTTACACATCATGTTACACATCCATACAGACACGACGATCATCTTCCACATCCACGGGAACTGACTCCAAGTGAAGCCATCAAAGCTATTGAAGAGACCCTCTCCCGACATCTTCTTCAAAGCACCACTTGAGCCACACCTGGAGCATTTGTGGATTGTTCAGCTCATATTGGATCCTCCTCTTGAACAATTCCACCATCCACCGCTGAACCCATGTCACCCTTTCCAGTTTTGACACAAAACTCAATCCACTCGTTGACTCGTTGTCATGGCCAAGGATCCTCCAGTCCTGCACACGCGTGCTGAGATGGGTCTAAACAAACCTGTGATGGACCTCTGCGCCAACCAAAAAGCCAACGGGGGAACATCGACTTTGATTGAAATTTATCAAAAAGCGTCGACGCCGCCAAAGCATCGTCGGCAAGGTTCCTGAGTATGTCTCAGAATACAACAGAAAAGTTCATGTCATCGATGGAATTGGCGAATGCAACAGAATGCACAAGTGCAACAACCAGCGACTGAAGTAGATCCAGGTAGAAAGAATCACTGCCCCTCCCCTTTCTGCCAACCTGGCAAAGCGCAATCACCGTGGAATACGACCCTGTCGTGCCCAAGACGTAGATGCTCTCTCCTGTGGAGGGACAGAGAAACCATGGCATAGGACATGACATGGAAAAAGATGGCATAGGAAATGGCCACGCACTGGCACGTGCCTGCTTTTGTAGCCAAGAGCCGTACAAGGAGATCACAACAGTCTGGAGTCCGGAGTATTAAGACTTCTTCTCATCGCAAATCTACACTTTACAGCGAGCTAAAGACGGGCGAATCATGACCAGGGTGTGTTTGTTCTCAATCCGGGCGCAAAGATAAGAGCGTCCTGCAAAGACTGCATCATATGAGGTCCATGGAGTGGTTGCTCTAAATTGATCTGTGCTGGTCGCGTTGTTGATCAAGGCCATCTGTTCCTAGGTGGATTCCCGAACCCGGGACAACTCTTCTTCCAGAAAAAAAAAGAAACAAATCATTCGACCAAGGGCGCCAAATCCTGAAAGGACCTTGCTGATGTTTCCCTTTATGTCCTGTTGATTTAGTTTTGGATTTCCATTGGTATGAGTCCACTAAAGCTTAGTCCAAGAACAAAATATCTCAGAAGAGCTGGGGCAACCCAGCAAGTAAGCGCCTGATCCAATGCTCTAGACTCTAGACATAAGCTACAGCAAGACCCTTCAACTTCAACTATGTCAGCCTTTCCTGGTCTTTGATCCAGAACAGGATGCTCTTTTCAAACCGATCCCTTCAATCAGCCACAACACTTTGTCGGGACCCTCAAGGGTCTTTTCAAGTCTGCGTGGATGTAAGCATTCATTAACTCTCTATCTCTTGATTGCTTTTGGCTCAGGTAGTTGCCCTGCTTTGGGGCCCCGGCCCAGTACATTCCTGACTCAAAGAAGAAGTGGCCCGTGTCCCCAACCTGGAGCAACACGATCTGACATGTTGCACCCCGGTCATTCAGTGAGCCATGTAAGGCCAATGGCTCCAGGAATTTTGCCGTACTAACCAAGTAGCCTGTTACAGTAGGGTGATGCCCACACTCACATGGGCACGATGTCTGCTGTCGAGCTGACCACCCCTTCCCAAAGGGTAGAAAGGTGCGGAAGCTAGACACTGGCAGCTACAATGGTCTCGACATGTCTCGACGGTGGCAGGAGCGGAGAACAAAAAAAATAGATGCACCAGAAATTTTGAGATTGAATTGCAATCTCTTCGAACATCTTCTGTGCATCTCCAGCATGTGACCTCAAAAATTGGTACCTGTTTCGCGGCGTCGATAGCATAGTTTGATGATAGAGCAGCTCTCTGGTGATGTTGCCAGTTTGATTCTTAGAAGTGAGATGTGGCGGCGAGCATGGTTGAAAGGGATCACAATGCAAATGCCTTCAGAGAGAAACAACTCGCCAGGTGAAAAAGGAAGCTTAGCTACTCTACAGTCGTTCTGTTCTCTATGTCTTTTTCAATGGAGTTAATCAGAACAGACTGCCGCTGGGAATCTCCACATCTCACCTGCCCTGTTCTACCAGAAAAACCTTGCCTTCAGCCCGCCAATCAGCGGATTTGAGTTGGTCAAACTGATCTCCTCCACGTCTCCATAGCTCGCCAAGCTGCAAACGGGGGGGCCAGACCGAGACAGGACAAGCGAAGCCTCCTAGAATGTTCTTGCATATCCATGGATAAAAACGGCACGCGGGGATTGCTTTTGTGTAGCGTCCTTTTCTCCTAGTAGTAAGGCCAAGAGCCCCTAGTAGCGTCCTTGCTCCTAGTAGCGATGCCAGGAGCCCCTAGTAGCGTCCTTTGCTCCTAGTCCGTATATTTGGTTCTGCATGGAAAGACATAGAGCACTCACATTTTGTGACCATAGAAGTTGACTACACAGCTAGAAGTTGTGACCGAGCCGATCGATGCCTGTTTACCGCAGGCCCTTCAATCCTGAGAGAAAAGGCGGCTCCGCCACTCAGGTTAAACGGTTTTGAGCCCAACGCACGGTCCGTGAAGGCCACCTGTGACTGCGGTGGGCGCAGCGCAGTTGTTGGCCGCCATGGCGAACATCAACCCGTTCTGGTCGGAGGACCTCCAGGAACGAGCTCGGTTGCTGGCATCGAGGCCAGAAGATCTGCCGGTGGTCTGAGCTGAGACTGTTTGGAGAGGGATCGGATGAACTGCTGCCGGACAACCATGAAACCCTGGACCGACCTGTTGGACCTCGAAGCGGAGTTGCTGCTGGGAGTGTTGAGGATCCTGGGCGTGGTGGAGGGCACGAAAGGGAAGCAATCAGTGCATGTGTTGGTGGACAAGGTGACCGCGATGAAAGCGAAGTACCTGACACCAGAGACCTGGAAAAGAAGGTGAAGATCAGCACTGGGCGGTCGACCATGAATGTCCCTCGTGAAGAACGACAGCAGGAATGCAACGACCCTCCAATGCCTCCAAGAAGTTGGATGGGACAAGCTTTGACTCCACCAAACAGGGAAGGGGCAGAAGATGAAGAAATCCATGGAGATCGACGAGTACAAGGTCATCACGGTGATCATCGCCAACGGCGCGAACCTGTACATCGAGCACGGCTGGAGGTTGACAGTGACCTGCAACGTGAGCTTGAACGGCAAGTGGCGGAGGAGCTACGCAAGCAAAATGATGAACTACGACAACAAATTGAGTTTCTGAAGAATAAGGATGCCTCACGACAACGACCTGCTGATCATGATCAGACTAGTCTCCCTGCCCAAAGACGCCGACAACAGTAATTTTCACAACTATGGAGCCACCTGCAGAACCAAGACGAAAACTGGGGGAACTCAAGTTCCTACGCGAACACCTCCTGATACGCAGGTTGGGCATCGTGGTGATCTACCGGGCGCGCTTCCATGGCCATGGGCAAGTGAGGCTCAGGGAATGTCCAGTGATTGGGCGATCCCAAAACGACGACTTCGTGCACTACAAGGACGTGATTGCGGGGTACAAGAACATCTTTTTTGTGGCCGCGGGGCGTGGCCTGATGGTGGAGTCCTACATCCTAAGGAATGCGGGGACAATCGTCGCGAAGATGGACTGCGAGAACACCATGGAAAGGGACATGGCGGTGAAGCGGCAGTGACCGGATCCATCACTGCAAGGCTCCCAACGTGGTGAACGTGATGGCCAAATGACGGACAAGTACCGCAGGTCAGGATGCAATGGCTTGAACGTGAACTTGAGGAAATTCCAGGGAGGCTCCGTGACCAAGAAACTGAGCAGCAGAAACATTGTGCGATGCTGTGACAGCGGGCAAATGGGTTGTGGACTGTGTTGAACAACAGGGAGGAGGTGGGTGAGATCGGAGAAGGAAAATCAACGATGCCTCCACCTCCCCGCAAGAACATCATCACAGTGCAGGGGAAAGCACTATGGGCGGTGCAGTGACGGGGGAGCCACTCGAGCGGGAAAGGATGACCTGCGGGCCGTCAACGCGGCGCTTCCGAAGTTGCCAGATGAAGGTTCTCATCAAGCAGCACTTCGATGTGGAGATTGGCTGGCAGGGATCACTCCACTAGTGGCTGATGTGAGCACCTCGACTGGACAATGGTGGACGCCGTTGATGGACCAAGTGTATAAAAAGCGGTTGGCTTCAGACGCTCTCACGAGACTCAGCGTTGAAATTGACAATTCAATTCGCCGCTGAAGGCAGAAGTGGCGGCGGCTCGCAAGTTGACAGCAGGCGCAATCATCCTGGAGGTCCTGAAGCGGTATCAACCGAATCTACAAACTCCAACACCGGCAGCCAGTGCGATTGATGCGGTGGACAAACTTCGGAGCTGGAACAGGAACATCATCCGTGCAGGGGAGCTTGCGGTGACTTTTCCAGATCCAGTACTACAGATCCAAGCTATGGTGAAGACTGTCCTGGCGAAGGAACCGCAGGTGTCGTTTCGCATTCAAACATGGCGACATCAGCATGGCCTGGACGTCAAAGCTGACCCGTCACGATGCTGCAAGCCGAGATGACAACCATCTCATTGACTACCGCCTCAGGAGCGAAGGACCAAGGTGAAGCAGCTGCAGAACGCGCAAACCCAACTTACATCGACAAGTACAGGGGCATGCAAATTCTGGGGCGCCACCACTGGCTGCTCAAGGGGGGCGTAGTGCAAGTTGGCTCATGCCTGGGATGGCATAGAGGATAAAACATCTCGGTGCTGGGAATGCTCAAGCCTGGAACACCGGAAGAACACCTGCCCAACCCTGACCGACAAGAGCGACAAATCGGCGGCTTAAAGGGGGGGAGCACCAAAACCAGTTGCTCAAGGAGGTCACATACCTACTGAGGTCATTAAAGACACCACAACCCGCAGTGAGAGCATTGGTCGCAAAAATCACGCATGAAGGATGCGGGGTACTCTACACATATGCTGCGCGCGCCACAATCACAAGCAGAGTGGGACGAGGCGGAGGAGACCGCTGTCCAAACTGCGACGGGTGAATGTGCGCTTCGCCAAATTGGGAATGGTGTCCTCCGACAGATGACAAGGGGGTAGCATTATTCCCCTCTTGAAATAAGTGTCGCAGGGAGGTGTCATTGAATGGCGACCGGTGCAAACTACGTCATCCTGTGGCAGGAGTCCGAAGAAAAAGATTCAAGGGGTTGTGAAAGCCCTGGTGCATGGCGATGATGAAGTGTTGGATCTGAACACGCTCAAGAAGAAGTTCTCTGGCGCACCTTTAGAGCAAGTGGCAAAATTGGCTGTCCGGAGGGATGTCAAGTCAACGGATATTTCATGGAACGGGAGGATGAGGAGGAGTGTTGTGAAGGCAGACTATGTGGTCCTCAATCTCTTCAGTGGTCCAGACCTCGGATGGTGGACGAAGCAGGTGCCTGCAGGGTGGGTGGTCTTGAACGTGGACATTCTTCAAAACCCAGACATGTTGAAGGATGCCACCATGGCATACCTGATCAACGTGGCGAGATCTGGCAAAGTAAAGACGTTCCTGGCAGGACCCCCCTTTTGCAGGTCCGTCTCAGTTCTCCGACTTCGGGAGGATGGCGGGCCTCGCCAAGTACGTGACTGCGAAGGACCTGGAAGGTGGGGGATGAGCAAGTTGAGACCTCACGAACAGGCACTTGTGGACACAGACAATCAGCTGCTGTTGAGGACCTTGGTTCTGGCAGAGCTTTGTGAGTCAGCAAATCCGGGGGAGACTGAGTTCATCGTAGAAACGCCGGAGGACCCGGAACGCTACCGTGGTGGGGAAAACATGCCTACCTTCACGGTTTGGCCAGAAGTGAAACAGGTTTTGGAGGTGGACCTGAAACTGAAGCGCATCTCCGTGGAGCAAGGAGCCCTTGGCCATGAGCGAAAAAAGCCAACATGTTTGTCGTCTTCCATCCCAGAAGTCAACACAGCTGGATCGCGCAGTGTCTGAGTCGAAACAGCTGGCAGCCTGGGCACCTGGACTCAAGCAGACCGTTGTGAAGTCATTGAGTTGCATTGGTGTTGGTGGACGTCCGCAGGTCAAGACACTCAAAAATGGTACAAACTGGAGCTGGTATCAGCACATCTTGAACGACACATTCCTCACAGGCGGGATTGCCGCAAATGTTTGCGTGCTGGAAGGGATCGACCAAGACTTTGCCAGCAGTTCCCAGGAGCTTTTGCAATGTCAGTTGACATAGCAGGACCATACATACCTGGATGCGACCAGGACCAGGGTCAACCCAAGTACTTCCTCATCACAACGGCGACGGCGCCAATCCGTCAGGACCGCCCATTGATTTGGGGCTGGCGTCCAGACGACTCCATCGAAGAGGTCGAAGAAGGTGCTGAGCATATGTTCCAAGACAGGCAAGAGGTGATGCCGGAAGAGCAGGATCCAAACCCATTTAGAGGGGCTGACGATGAGGCAGCGGCGCAGGCGGGGGAAGCAAACTTGGCATCGTTTGAGCAGTGCGTTGCAGAGCTCAAAGACGTGGGGTCAAGCACTTGGCGTTGGCAACACCTCTCCTCAATCGCAAAGAAGCGACAGTGCTTGCAGCGACGGCCAAACTGTTTGCAAGATACCGTGCTCTGCAGGTTCCAATCTTCCGCATTGAGACGGACAGGGCGAAAGAATTCGTGTCCAAGCGATTCAGGGAGTGGACAGCTGCGAGAGACCTGGAGCATTGCTATACTGGGGACGACGAGCCTACTTCTTCTGCAATCTGCTGGACTACCTATTAGGGAGTGGCCCACCGCCTTGAGGCATGCTGCCGACAAAAGACACCATGGACAGCTACGCGCACTTGGCTTGGACCTCCCAAGATTGGGGGACTTCAAGCGGCTCGAGGAAGTCATCCGCAGAAGGACAGAGCTGATGCAGCTGAGCTTCTACACACTGACAATCCACACTCCGTTGCGAACCAGCTGAAGGAGGCTGCTGAGTTTTGGGAAGTGTTTGATGACGTGGCACAACCACCTTCACTACCTGAGCAGGAGGACTTTGGTGAGAACGATGATCATGCCCGCGCCGATGACTTTGAGGAGGATGTCCATGGCCTGTTGGTGACCACAGTGGAGGAAGCAGGCGTGGTGGACAACCGATATCGGCTTCATGGTGAACTTCATCGCGCGGATCCACTGCCGCCTACGATACCAGGGATGCCATCAGGTCCTGACGGGCCGCAGGGCGACCATCAAGTACCTCAATGGAGAACAGCCGGGTCGCCCCACAGAAGACAATTGGATGGAACCTCCAACATGTGAGGATAGGATGGACAACAAAGTTGAGGGCTGGTGGACTGCTACACCTTCCTTGAGCTCCGTGATCTGCCTAGGGGAACTGATGGACCACCATGAAGCTACTACCAGGGTACACGACCTCGAGGAGCATGGGAAGCGCAGGAAAGTGCACTGCTGGCTTGCTGCAGCGGCAAAGGCTCGAACACGAGCTGCAAACAAGGCACCATCGAAGTCTGCGCCACCTCCGCCACCTGCTGAGCGCTGGGAAAATACACCAGATCGCTTGAAGCAGGTTGTCCAGGCTACCTCGAATGCCTTTTAAGATGCTCCACAGTGTGGGAAGGCTTGATCCAGCAGGCACTGGCATTGGAGCGAAACCCACCTGCAGATGTTCCAAAGCTGGAGCTGAATCTGACGAAGAGCACAACACCAGATGGTGAACCATGCTATGTGGCAACTGCCACTGCCACGGCTGGGGGTGGCTCGAGTGGAAGTGGGACGACACTGCGGACCCCGGACACGACCTTGGCACAAGATGGAAGCGATCATAGCCAGCAGCCGGCACCAAGCTCCGACCATCGAGGCGGATATCGCCAGGGTGGCGCACAAGCCCGCGGCCAGGCGGCTATGCATACTCTCCCACCGGGACTCCCTGGTGGACCGATCCAGCAGGCCACGACCTCGTTCCACGCCTTGTACGAGGCGAATGCGCCGCCGTCACTGGACGCGGAAGGTCCTGATGAATGGGACTTTGTGGGCATCCAGAGTGTCCGGGCCACATCGTCACAAGGTGACGTGTACGATGGCTATGACGTGTAAGGGGCCTTGAGCATTTTGCAGATTCCAGTGAAAGCACTGGAAGGGGGAGTGCATGGAAAGACATAGAGCACTCACATTTTGTGACCATAGAAGTTGACTACACAGCTAGAAGTTGTGACCGAGCCGATCGATGCCTGTTTACCGCAGGCCCTTTAATCCTGAGAGAAAAGGCGTGCTCCGCCACTCAGGTTTAATTCTTCATAACCCTTGCAAAGACAAGTATATCCAGTTCTCTATGTAGGGAATCGGCAGAAACAAATGCCAAAAACCCATCACATCTGAATCCCTCTGGCAGCCTCTGTCTGCGTTTGAATGTGAGGACTTCAGAAGTGGTACACACCTTGTTGCTTTCCTGCCCCGCCCGGCCTAAAGCGAATGACCAGACCAGTGTTGTAGGTCACCAAATACCCATAAGTGCCATCCTGCACACATGGAGAGAATGGTTTTCCAGTGGTAGAAGACCTGCAGACCTGCTTCCCACGACCTGCGGCAACAAAGATTCAGCTCACCTGAGACTGAACATGCTGCGAACTCTCTTGGCTCAAGAGTCTTTCGACTACGAGATAAGCCCCATCTAAAAAA